GCTCATAGGATTGTAGACTGTCCCCACAAACCAACACAAGTCTTTCCCGCACACTTTGTCCTCACTCGTGCGCGCCCAAGGAAAACTTCCCAGGGGGTCACCCATCATAGAATTGCTCCAGGTCAAGCACGCTTAACCTTGGAGTTTCTAGGTGATGAGCTCTCAAAAAGAAGATGCACCTTGTTGGTATGAGTAGTACTATCAATCCTTTTGAGCTCTTCCCATTCCCATCTTGATACGGGGTATTACATTAAAAGTGTAATACCCCGTACGAGTGAGGACAAAGTGTGCGGGAAAGACTTGTGTTGGTTTGTGGGGACAGTCTACAATCCTATGAGCGAACACTTACGGCTAGAGTGGGGGCCGGGTTGTTACAAAGATTATAAACCTACCGGATTTCCCCCAATTCATTATCTCGGTTCTTACGCTTCAAGGGTTTCTAGGGTTTGTAGCAATAGATGAATTGGTATATAATGAGCGTGTGTATGAATTCTCTCAGATCCACTATCCAGAAATCTGAAGTTCTACGTTCGCCCCGTGTTTGCACCAGAATCTTATCCTTTCCCACCCACGACTTCCGATTTCCTTCCACTGTCTCTTCTCTCGTTTTCTCCATCCTTCTCTCTCTCTCTCTCTCTCTTCATCCCTCCCTCCCCTCCTTCTGGCTTGAAACCCTAATCCTCCTTCTCTCCCAAGTTAAATTCTTAAAACAAAATACGGAGTAATTGTTGGAAAACACTTTCTCTTTGACGTTTTGCTAATGACAATGTTTGTTTCCATTTAGGTTTTGATATTGACAAACCGTTGGGAACATGGAATAAAATGAAAAGATTTAAAGAGATAGAAAAAGTTCTTTGAAGGAACAAAAAGAACAAGAAAGGCATTGATGTTTCTAAAGATACATTGGCGTTTTGAAGACGTTGTCTAAATATTTAGGTTTTTATTGTAACAAGCTCATTCAATTTCTCTAAGTCATGACTCAAAACAAAATATTTTTTTCATGCATCAAATGAGTTTTTTCATAAATGGTTTTAAGTTTCTAAAACACCCGGTTCTTGCCCAACCAAAACCATAACCATCGGTTATCGGCGTTCGGCTATTGCGTTCGGTTTTTGGCATTGGTTATTGGCATTCATTTTAGCCAAATGGTTTTTGGGTTTTTATCTTTGGTTTTTGCTTCTAGACACATTTAAAGGTTTTCCAAATCATCAGTTTTCAAAAACCATAACCTTTGTTTTTTCGGCGTTGGTTATCGGCATTCGGCGCTGGTTATCGGCGCTGGTTTTTGGCGTCCAAATCAATCAAGTGGTTTTTAAGATTTTATGATTGTTTTTTACTTCTGGGCATATCCAAATGGTTCTCCAACAAAAACGTGTTAAAAACCACCTTTCGTTTTTGGTCTTTTGGTGAAAACCATGTGAAACGACATAAACTTGGCTAGCCGTGGTTTTTACCTCAATGAAGTGGTTTTTAAGTTTTTATACTTGGTTTCTACATAAAATACATTATATATGAGTTTACAACACTTGGTTTTCATTTTGGAGAACTTTGGTTTTTGACATCGGTTTTCGGCGTTGGCTGCCAAACCATGGTTCTGGCGACCAGGCCCAACATAGATGTAGGATTTTGAACATCGATGTCTGAACAGCGATGTTGAACTTTGAACATCTATGTTTTGGCCAGGTTGGCTCACGTCAGTCTTGGGCAGTAGGTTTTTGAACAGCGATGTTCATTGTTGAACAGCGATGTTTTCAAATGACCGTTGGGCTATTTAAGACAAAATCTTTCCATTTTTGAAAGTCAAACACCCCAACATCGATGTAGACTTCTAGACATCGATGTTTTGATGACCGTTAACGATTTTTAAGGGAAAGTCAAAGCCAAAACAGCGATGTTCACTATATGAACAGCGATGTTAAGCTAAAATTCTGTAGACCAACTTTGATTTGATTTCCACAAATCATGCCATTAAACCCCAATCAACTCCCATCCGTTACACATCATTTTTGGGTATAAATAGGGGTATTTTGGGTCTACTTTTAACATCCATTCCTCACACATTTCATAGCTTTACATTGCATCATTCCATAAACTTTTTACATAGCTTTTTAGAGCCATTTCTTGAGGAATTGAGTGTGTTCTTGATCTAAATTAGTTTACTCATATTCTACTCTTTAAGAGAGTTTTTGTTCGTGAGTGGTTAAGTGTTGTGAACACTTTAAGGGAGGTTTGTTCCCTTGGTTGTACGAAGGAAGGGCATATTCCTTCGAGTTGAAGTCTTGGAGTGCGGTATCTCCGAGCAAGTGTATTGAGGCTCGTGGGACTCGAGTTCTCAGGTTGTAACGGTTTGTTAAGTACCCGTAAGCTTAACGGAAGTAGTGTAGCTCGAGAGAGTCTCTCGAGAGGCTGGACTAGCCACACGTTGTGGTGAACCATGGTAAAATCAGTGTGTTCTTTCCTTACGCTTTTTTATTCCGCTCTTTACTCTATCTCTGCGCTTTTTATTCCGCGAAAATTTATAAACATTCTCGTGCCTCACTATTCACCCCCCTCTAGTGAAGGGCACTTGTTCTAACAGTAATAATAATAAATGGCACTAAATTTTGTTTCCTCAAAAGTTGGTATATGGTACATCCGGATGTGTTTATGAAGAATTGATGATCAATTAATATGTATAAAACACATAAAAACTTTGAGAAAAAAATTTCACTTTGAAGTACACATATTTCTCCCCCTATTTGTCAAGCGCAAAAAGGATTGAATGAAATTTTGATAAAAAAGTGTGAAGCTTCTTCAAAAGCTCTCCCCTATCAAATGGATTAAAGTAAAAATTGAATGATGAATATTATAAAAAATTTGTTTTTCTTCTAATTTGATAACATTTTACTCCCCCTTGGTAAACGAATTCCATCAAAATAGATGTAAAACAAAATAAATCAAGCATATAAGGTATGTTATCAATTATATGTCTTTTTCAATACTTGTGCCATATTTAACTTTTCTCTTAGCATACCAAGGCTAAGAATTTCCTTTTTCATGATTCTTAGATTTCATGCACTCCAGCAGAACCTGTTAATGCGTTTCATACCAAATCTAAAAATATTCAAGATAGTCAATGAAGGCAATTTCACATTAAGCACAAAGTCATCAAAAAGTACCAAAGTTTTAACATTTTGTGCAAAATAAGAGTAAATGAAATTTAATAATAGTAATAATCATCAACATTTGCCATGTTGTCAATGTCTTCATCATCATCATCACAAAATTTACAATAAGAGGATTAAAGGAATTAAAAGTTCTAAGGAAGCTGGGAAGCAAACGGTCGACCGCGGAAGGCCAACGGTTCATCGTATCATCCGCCTGTAGCATTTAAAATTTGACCTCGCGCTGGGACACAAACGGTCGACCGTGGAAACACAACGATCCACCACATAGACCGTTTGTAGCAAATAACTCTGGATCCCAAAATTTGTCATAATAACGGTCGCCCGTGGGACTTGGACGGTCCAACGCATTAATCGTCACTACCTGGTCCAGAAGACTGCAATTGAACGGTCGACCGTCCAAAGGCAACGTTCCATTAGCTCAACCGTCGATGGGTATATAAAAGAGCAATAATTTTATACTCTATTTGCCTTGGTTTATTGGCCTTGTATGGCTTTTCACGTCAAAGTGAACAAGTTTTAATATTTAATTACTAGGTTTAAAGTTCATCCAGTATGATCTTAAAAAAATCAAAGTGGACGAAGATACTGGGACGGAGGTAGCATATTAATAAAATTTTCTCTCATGTATGGAAATTAATAAAAAAAGGTAATACTTTTGAGAAAAATAATTTAGTGCAATTTGTTATTATTATTACTACTATTATTATTATTATTATGATTTTGTTTTAAGAATTTAACTTGCAGGTTAAAAGGAAAGAAAATGATATATTTTGACAAGTGATAAAAAGTTTAGGGACACAATAGTAAGGAAACATAGTGGTATTTTTGACAAAATATAATACATACGGAGTAGTTTGGTGGGAATGTATGCGCGGTTAGTGGGGGAGAAGGAAAGGGGGGTTAGGGTTTCACAAGCCGCCGGAAGGAGGGGAGGGAGAGACGGAGAGAGAGAGAGAGATGGAGAAAACGAGAGAAGAAGAGAGGGGAAATCGGGAGTCGTGGGTGGGGAAGGATAAGGTTCTGGTGCAAACACGGGGCGAAGGTAGAACTTCAGATTTCTGGGTGGTGGATCTGAGAGATAACAAAGTTATGAAACTTGGGGGGCGCGTCGGGCTTCTTTGGGATCACAATATACCACACGGATTGATTGCCGTGGATTCAGTGATTTACGCCATCGGGAGGTATAAACCAGATTCTATTTGCTGCCCGAAGGAGGAGGAGGAGGGAATATATCACCACGATCATACCGGCACATCTTTCCTGGATTTGGCAGACCCCAGTGGTAGGTGGAAGGGAATAGGTGGGATGCTTATTAGCAATAGGCCGTTTCCGTGTTGTGCTTCCCTTAGCGACAAGATATTCGTTTTTGGTGCCAAAGCTTCAAAAGCCCATTTGAATTTGGGCGAGTTCTATGACAAGAAGAAGAATTGCTGGGAAGCAATACCATCACCACCGCTCATCCGTCGTGACGCATTTCGGCATTGCCGTCCCGTTATTTGCGACCCCAAGCACAATCGGATACTTGTCCATTTCAGTTATATCAGTTCCCTCTATGCATACTATCCCGAAGACGGCCATCGATGGGTTTGCCTAAATGATCACATGCCGCCGTGGGACGGAGAACCTGCACCCTACCTCCTTGACAATGTTCTCTACCTTATTTCCTACAAAGACAATTGCATCACTGCCTTTGATATCTGCACCAAGGAGCACCTCGAGGTTTCTTGGTCCTCTTGCTCCCCATTCGGCCCTCACGAACTTGCCCAATTAACTTCCCCATGCATGATTTATTTGGGTGATAACATCATGTGCGTCTATCCATATGCGCCGTCGTCCTTTGAATACTACAGGTTCCAAGTTTGCCGGGTCTCTAACCAACAACAGGGAGTGCTCATAACTCCCCTCTCTACCCACCTCTTCCCATTTCAAGGCCCCCGGACACCCATTAATACGGTCGCCCTCTAGGCCAGGTTAGTTTCCACCCGTTTGTTTCATTTCTATATCCTTAATTTTCATTTTTTTTCCCCCTTTTCTTTTGCATTGCTGCTCACATAATAAGTTTCTGCCTACCGGTATACTATATATTTAGTATATATATGCTGCTCTTTTATGCCCTCTTGGATTCCATCTTCTTTGCATGAAGGAGCCTTGTGTAGCTCAAATCATATCAAATTCAGGAAACAACCAAAATTAAGTTGTATGAGACTAGCTCCCACAGTGCATTGAGAAGCTCAATGAGCATGTCAGTTTCGAGTCTCCATGATCCGGTTCTGACCTCGACCTCTTGATTGTAGGAGAAGCTCGTGACTGTGCTCTGTTCTTTCTAATAACTCTATGCATCCTCATCCCTACCTTCTTTACGCTGTGCTTGGTTTTGGTGGTGGAAAAAAAACAACTTTTTTTTTTTTTTGAGAGAGCAAAATGTTTTCTTGGGGAAAATGGTTTTAAAAAAAACAAATCTCATAAAAAATCATCTTCCATTATTCATAATTGAAAATTGATATTTAAAAA